TGATTGTGGAGCAATTGGTGGAATGAAGATTGGCAGGGGAAGTACTCGGAGAAAACCTGCCCCAGGGCCACTTTGTCCACCACAAATCCCACTTGACCAGACTCGGGATCGAACCCGGGCCGCCGCGGTGGGAAGCCAGCGACTAACCGCTTGAGCTATGGCGCGGCCTTCTCTCATACATACTCAAACATACTTCTATCACCACATGACAGACAGGGATGATGTCATGATGCTAGTGTTAAAAGGGGTACACTATTTATCCCTCTGAAATCCTGGCTACAATATATACACACATATGAATTCTTTTCGTGCTATACACGAAATTATATTGTTAATACTAATCTCTAAATTATTTGTGTCATATTATTTTTGTTTAGATGCAATATTCTCTAGTCTGTTTAAGTCTAATTTTCAGCATTAATATTAGGCCTACAGCATGTAAGAAAGGTTTCATAATGGATTTAAACTAATGTGTAATGCTACTATTATCATTTAACTGCAATTAAATCGTTTAATTGGAGATAGATTAGTAATATACCGGCGAATATTACCCCGACCTACTTCAGGGAGAAAGGAAAAGAGGACGAAAAATAAGGACACTGAACGACAAAGATGTTTGTAAGGTTTACAATGCGCCAAGAAAGAAACAAATCTAATTTAATTAAGAAAAGAATTGATGTCTTGATGGTAGGTAGTGGTGATTACGAGCTGGGAACATATCATGTTCTCACACACGGATTTCAAAGAATGAAAAAGGACAAACAGGAAATACTGTGTTGCAGGAGACGATCATGATATGCGATACAGACTCGACGGAAACCAAAACTTAAGAAGACATAAAAATAGAGAAATCGATGTGCTGATTTCGGCAACGTCAAAAGTTGAGTAATGAAATTCTCAAGAAGTGTAAATGACTTCCCGTGGTGTCACGAGTCCAGGGGTTAAGACAGGCAACAGATCTTTACAGACGAGACAGTAAGAAGAGGATGCAACGCAATGAGGATAGGAGGAGTTTAAATGGAGCCCTTTGAAGTTTTGCCGCTTTTTCTCCGCTCCTCCAGAAACATCTTGTCATTAGTACCATAATTAGTGAATGTCGAGCTACCATGTGCCATGCAGTCACATAAAATGGGGACGGGCCGGCATTTCTAAAGAACCAACACGACGGCGTGTCTGAAGAACTGACAGCGAATATGCAGTAGTTCTGAGAGAGCCTGATAGTTCTCCGGTGTAGAATCTTCTACGTACAATCGACAGAAATACAACGCTGTTGTGACTAATTACAGTTACGCCAGAATCCTGAGCCAGTCTAGTCCACCTCATACCCTCACAATCGATTTCGTTTAAACAAAGCATTGTTATTATCTCCCAGTTTACACGTATGTCCCAAATAATTATTAAATTACAGCCAACAAAGAAAGCCTTCAAGACAAAAAAAAAAGCTGTGCAGACCTAGGCCTATACCTTCCTGCTTCTAGCAAGCGAGATACAAATCTCAAATCCTTTGGTTAAACGTCGTTATAATATCAGGTAAAAAAAATAAGCGTTCATTCACTGGTTATACAATTTTGTTTAATAGGTCAAAATATTTTCCCGTCATTTTCTTCTAACACTTTCAATTTCTATTATTCCGTTATAGAATTTGCAACTGACACCCCAATTCTATTTAGAATAGTCTAAAATGTGTGACGGAAAGGTGGAAGCATGACAGTAGAGCCATATAATGCAACATAACAAAAGAGAAGAGCAAAAAATTCTTAGTGGGTGGGGGGGTTACGTTTAATATTAGTTCAAAATGATATGATTTGGTTCATCCTGATCCGTCACACTATCAATATTATAAATGTTAATTAACACCGTCCAGTATGACTGATATCAGTCACATTGGACGGTGTTAATTAACCTTTATAATCAGTATGGTCTATTTGATTTATGAATCTGCAGCGTCACATCAGTACGATGGTTTAACTACTGAGCTTTTGCTAGCTCCCAAAATTAGTACAAAAATGTATTTCCCCTTACGACTGAATTAACGCGGAGCTGTACTCCACGAGCACACAAAACTTCAATTTCTACAGAAATATGTTACATGATTTGAAACAAGTGTTATTTTTAATATCCGTTCTTCCTTTGCAGAAAACTCAACGCACCTCCACTACAAAGATTATTTGTTTTATAGAACAATTACTATTCCTTCCAAGATCCAAAAGAAACCCACAAACACTCAGCGGACGAAATGTCACGTTATTTAACGTTAAAGTAAGTGATATGTATACTCATAGTTACCACTGCTTTATAAAGAGTTTAAATATCAAGACTTCACATCTCGGTAAATAAAGCTCTACTGATACTCCTCAGTTAGTTGTCAGATTTATATTAGCCACCAGGGTTTAAATTCAAAACGAAAACAGAGGTTACTTTCTCTACACTGAAACACAAAAGAAATGTTTCCCATTAAGAATTTTGGTACCATTCGTATGGCAAGTGAGTTTTAAGCCACATACTTTAATGCATCGGGGTTCTGTATTCAGTCTTGTGAAATTCAAAATCGCAGATTTATTGACAGTCGGCCCTCTAACTGCACGGTATGATAACCGGCAAACATCTAACGCCTGCGCCATTAAAACGGTTGCTGAAACAACATACTCTTAAACATCCTCGTAATTATAAAATATACTCAACGTACATAGGTACCGCAAATTCGGCGTGATTTATGCAGCGGCAATATGTACATGACAGAGGGCCGAGACTAAGTACGTGGCCAAATGGGACGGCATATTTTACTAACACCCGTATTATGGTCCTGGGCAGTCCTGGGGTCGACTCGGCCTCGTTTAACAGAAATGAATACCGGGAATCTTCCTGGGGATAAAGAGAGGATGGCGCTAAAGCTGACATCACCGCCATCTGTGAGTAGACTGTCTAGAAAATATAGTAGCCTCAACGTCTTCCAAACATATGGGCCTCCACAACCTGCTACAAGGATAGCCTTACTTACTTACTTATGGAGATGAGCCCTTCTTGAGAAGCCAAATCTGCAGCTACTCAAGAATTTCCTAGCATTTTATGAAACCCGAAGGTTCATTACCGTGTTCACAAGAGCCCTCCATTGGTCCATATCCTGAGCCAGATCAATCCAATTCATACCATCCCTTCCTATTTCTCTAAGATCCATTCTAATATTGTCCATCCACCTACGCCTTGGTCTTCCCAGTGGTCTCTTTCCTTCTGGCTTTCCAACCAATATCCTATATGCATTCATCGTCCCTCCCATTCGTGCTACATGCCCTATCCACCTCATCCTCCTTGACCTGATCATTCTAATTATACTTGGAGAAGAGTAAAAATTATGAGGCTCCTCATTATGCAGTTTTCTCCAACCTCCTGTCACTTCATCTCTCTTCGGTCTAAATGTTCTCCTCAGCAACCTGAGTCTTTGTTCCTCCCTCTTTTTTAATGCTAGTGGGGTGGGACTAAGTCCCTTGTACTGCGGCCACTTCTGGCCTATTGTACCAGCCCCAGATGATAGGTGAGAGTGATTGTGGAGCAATGGGCGGAATGAAGATTGGCAGGGGAAACTGAAGTACTCGGAGAAAACCTGCTCCAACGCCACTTTGTCCACCATAAATCCCACTTGACCAGGCCCGGGATCGAACCCGGGCCGACGCGGTGGGAAGCCAGCGACTAACCGTTTGAGCTATGGCGCCGCCTTGTTCCCTTCTTAATATCAGAGACAAAGTTTCACACCTATACAGAACCACAGGCAAAATTATAGTTTTGTTTATTCTACTTTTCATCTTTTTGGACAGCAGAGAAGACAAAAATTTCTCGACTGAATGGTAGCAAACATTACCAGAGTTCAATCTCCTCTTCATTTCCTCCTCAATCAGGTTTTGATTTGTTATCATCATTCCCAAATATCTGAACTATGCCACATTTTCAAAACATCTGTTTCCTATCTTTATGTCAAGATTTTGCCCTGAATTTTGGTGATGAGACAGCAACATATACTTAGTTTTCTCTGTGTTTACTTCTAGACCAACCTCCTTACTTGCGTCAATTACAGTTTGTGTTTTTTTCTTTATGGTATCTATATTATCACCCAGTAGATTCACATCATCCGCATAGACCAACAGCTGATGTGTCCCTTTTAATTTCAGTCCCACCTGGTTTCCCTGGACCTTCCTAATGGCATATTCTAAAGGAAAGTTGTAAAGGAGTGGTAATAAAGCATCTCCTTGTCTTAGACCATTCTGGATAGGAAATTTATCATACAAATGTTTACCTATACAGACTTTACTATTAGTTTCGTTTAAGCACATTTTAATCAACTTAACTAGTTTCATGGGTATCCCAAACTCAAAGGGATAGCTTTACCTTTGTTAAATCAAATTTACCTTTCGCTGATCTTTTGGTCATACACTATCATGACCATTAATTGCCATTTACTTGAACGTGTTACGTGACAATGTACAAGCACATAAAACTGTTTTGGGAATTACAACACCAATGAGTTTTCGTCTGCCTGGAAATTTCGTATTACTGCGAATAATTTGTTAGAACGATCTTTTGTTTCAGATGGAACTTCTTGTCTGGAGCTGCACCTAGGTTTGAGCCAGCGCTATTCCCATATATGAATTTGTTTATTTGGAGGAGGGATCACCAAAAAGTAAAGGGCAAAAATCTCACAAATTTCAGTTGTGACCAAGAATCAGAGAAACCTGCTTCTTTATGGTGTGATATGGTTAGGGAGGCAATGAATTGTTTTCTTCTGACAGTACTGTGAAAGGTGTACCCAAACTGCTTATTATAACAAGTGAAATTAAGAAAAACAGGAACATATAAAAAAATCTTACTACCTCAAGTTCTGGTCTTCCTTCATTTAACATTCAATTTCAGTGCTCCGAAGTCAATGATGGGTCAAATGTCTTCTTCCACTTAAGATTTTCATAAATTTAGTGTTCCAATCCACTATTCCATAAAGAAATCTTAAATGGGAGTTTCACTGTATATTATTCAATAAGTTTATTACTAATAAAATTACATTTACTGCTTACAAACTACTATCTTCATGTTTCTTTTATTATTTACACTCAGACAAATCTTGTGTAAAATATCTCACGTCCTTATATCAGCATTAAAATTCTAGTCTGCAAGGTCTATAACTGAGTTTTTATTAACTCACCTTCTGTTCTTGACAACTGTTCTACAGTTTCAATTTTTGCAAATAAATTTATATTATGTGCACTTGTACTGATCCAGATATGGAACACGCAAATTAGGGAAATGTGGGCCCTTACTTCAGTCACAAATTCTCTTCATATATGACTGCCTCAGAATGGATGGTCTACTGGTATAGCAACCAAATATTTCAACAGCTTCTATGGACCCTCAACTTAATTATACAGAATTTTATGTGATTACCAGCATGAACATAATTTTTATGTTCCAATTTCACTATCACATGAAGAATGTTAAATGATCTGCAGTGCTAGATTTTTGTATAAGCTAAACATTGTACAGATTGCAGGTTTGCAATCTGAGGTCCAAATAATGAGAATAAAAATCACCCACGACACAACAAATGGCTGACCACAGAATGGAATGATGTAAATGATCCACACTGAAACATATGTGACAATAAAAAAATACTGGGAGGCAACATCACTCATTGCCATCAGTTGTAGTGCAGCACAAGAGTGTTGCCAGGGAAAAATGGCTTTTACGTATTTGTGTAGTTCAGCATATACATACATTTCATTCTTACTCACATACATCCACCTGTAAATCAACTTTCAATTTAATTACAATTCCTTTCGTCAAAATACGGCATTTCTTTCAATCATTTTTTGTTAAACTATATCATGAAAAACCTGCCCATGTAGTGATTCAAATAATTTTTAAACAATTCTTAGCCATTCTTTCTACAATACTTTTCACTTTTCACAGTCACTGTTTTCCTTTTATCCAAACGTAAAAATATTGGTCCTAAATGCTTTATTAGTTTAAAATAATGTTATCTGCTAGCCGACACAAGTGTACCAACTCAGTACTTAAGTGTAAAGGTTAAAAAAGGAAAGAATTTTCAGCTCCGTTGGATAAAAAACACTACTTCAACACATCCCACGCCACCAGGTGTCATTTAAAATAGACATGAATGGAACCAAAATTCTGATGAATCAACTCGACGTTTAATGAAGAAATGTCTCATAAACCTTGACATACAGGAGACTAAATAACTTATTAAATATCAGGACTCCCTCAGAACGTTCTAAACATGTGCCTGAACATAACATGACTTCTCCTCGAACAATTCATTTATTTTAATTGTGTCACACATTCTATGACAAATATAAAATTAAATAATAAATGTCATGGTTCAATGGCATATAAAAGATACTAAAATATGTATTTATCACAACTCTATCCTCTATATCAATCACATATACTGTGTGCCCACAACTGCATGTAATACAATCGTAATTCTCTGAAAGATGTTAAATTGTGCTAATCATCTGAAGTTCTCAGTGCAGTGATTATGATAAGTACCATCTTCTGGGAAGTGAAGTAGTCTGATAGGTGTTCAACAAAGTTTTGGAGCAACATACTATCTCCAGGTCACTGGTAGAAGAGTAAGCCAAGCATACAACCTGCAAGCATTACCACTTGCTTGACTTATTCTTTGACACTCCAATATGTCAATGAACATCAACCAGACTGCATGGTGTCAAATCCCACAAGACAGTACTCTGTGTTAATTTGTTTTATAGACAGACTGCTATTAAAACATATTATAAGAATGTGTGCAGTTTTCAAAGTCTTAGTAAATGACACCAATTTGTTGCAGCCTTTTTTAAATACATCTTTGTCTGCACTATCACATCTCATTTACGTACACTATTAACAATGACCTTGTCTTTATTATTAAATGCATTAAAATCACTGCTATAAACCTTTGCAGATCTTGTGAAGTGCCTACAGAATAAGGACCACTGATCTGTCTTATGACTGGCCTTATACAAATGTTTATAATAAATAAGTGGCACATAAAACAAAACTGTAGGAGAAATCATAAACTTTTCCACTTCAATTTCTTTCCCTAAAAATTTTATTCTATTTATGGAGAATTCTTTTATTTTAACCAGTGTATCTCCAGTTTTTGTACTGTGACTTCCTTAACATGTCTCGTGACAAAACCTGATCCTATACACCTACATATTTAACTGAGTTAGGTTGTCTAACAATTGACACTAGGTCTTTCTAGCAAGCCTGTGCCCCTGCCTTTTCACTTGAAGACAAAGGAAGAACCAATTTCCAAAATGTAATAACACTGAGAATATCAGGCGATGGTGAAGTCCATAAATCCAGAATTATAAGTGTAATACACCATTGCCAGAACACTTTAAAACTGGTGCCACTACTGACAAACTCTCACACCTGTTTCACAGTCTTTCATGTTGGCATAAATACCAGCAACAAAGTACAAAACAATACAATTTATTAATCTGAGAATTACATGAATTCATCTGAATGATCATTATTATACAGAACATAACAAAGTCCTGTATCTACATTGTTAGGTAAAGTTGTCCCTGTGCTTAACTAATTAAGCATTATGCCATGAAGGCCTATGGATGAGTGGATGCATACAGCCACATTTTCTTGACCTTGGCACTAGTTGGAGGTGAGTGTTTATTCATTCCAGTATTGCACTGCATATGCTGACCCACCCTCAACAAACTTGCACAACTCACTGTAGGCCTTCGCTTTACTTCTCCCATCTACACAGAAAATGCAATCTAATATTCAAATTTGCACTGAGGTAAATTTTCACATCCAACTTCAATTTTCAATGTCACTGAAGATTCATTTACTCTGGAACTGACAAACAGTATATGTTTATCAACAACATAATTACATACTTACCCGGTTCCTGACAGTGCAGTTCTACTGAATGGGTTTATAACAGATTTTGGGTTCCCATGGCAGAGAGGACTCTGTGATAGAGTCCACACAGTCTGGTAGGGACTACAGTTGAATGAAGAGAAGGTGAGGCAAGTGTTGGCTAGGACTGGTCAATCTTGACAATTTGACTGTTCATTCAGGAACACATTATTAACATTTCTAGTCCTGCATGAGAGGTTAGTCTTTTACTGCAGCTTTGTCCAGACTACAATATCGAGCAACAGCTGGATAGTAACATGTCAAGACATAATGTCTCTTTCAAAATTCATTTTGGACACATATTTCTCTCATTTGTGACCAGGTGGTGCATATACTTACCAATCTTCTGAAATTCCTCAGACACGTGCCGATTGTTTGCTATTAATAATTTGTTATAGTAAAATATTGCAAAACTGTCACTGTACAGCAAAGAATGGCCAGGATGTGAGATCAGCAAGCAGAAGAGTTAACTGGGAAAAGTATTAAGCTTCAGTATACCAAAAGCAACAGTAAGTTGCCATAAAATCATGACCATGTTTTCGGCTTGCATAGTACATGCAGATGGGCATTAATTGCTTTGCCTTATCTTCAATGGAGGACAGAACTTATGAAGACTACAAGGTGTGATAAGTCAGAATACCAGATTAGTACACATCTTTCAGTCATACAAATTTTCAGGACAACGGTATTGACTCAGTCTTTGCAATGTATGATACTGGGTGCATATGATTTCTGAACATATTCTTTTATTCCAAGCTACATACTCTGAAGATAACTAAAATGCACAACTGCTCTAAGAAATAAATTATGAAGTACTTTTATTGCTATCAGGGAAAATAACAGAATAAGAAAGAACTACTGGTGTATATGGATAGTCTCATTCTCACTCCCTCTCTCTTTCTCACACATACACACAAGCATACGCACACCCCATATGTAACAGAAAAGCAGAAGCAATTATCGGTTAAAATGTCAAAATTATTTAGCCATATGTACATGCTTGTTACTAAGAGACACTCATATTCATACCAACTCAGACTTCTCATTTATAGCCTCTTTCAATTTCCTTTCGGCTTCTCCATGATCCTTTTCAGAGGAATTAAGAGGAAAAATTTTCTTCCTTTTATCATTACCATCATCATAATCATCATCCTCATTACTGTCATCATCCTCATCACCATTGTCATCATCGTCATCATCGTCGTCATCATCATCATCATCAACCTCCTCCTCATCATCCTTCTCTGTTTTTACAAACACTGTAGAAATTGTATCTCCCTCTAAATTTTCTTTCTTTACATCCCGTTCATTACCCCGAAACTCCACACCCTCCATATCAGTCCCAATCTGGCTGCCTATTTGGTCTTCACCTGTCCTTTCAAGCTCACCCCCAACCTTACCTGTTTTCTGGGCTTCAACATTTTCATTCATATCTATATTAACATCAACACCACCTGGAAGCATAAAGAGATACATTACAACATAAGTTTCAATCAACTCTGCTATAATGGTAGTCAGGATAGCTCAGTCGGTATAGCAACAGGCTACTGGCTGGACAGTTGGGGTTCAAATCCCAGCAGGTAAAGGATTTTTCTTTTTTGCACAAAGTCTGGACTGGCTCTGGCACCCATCCAGCCTTCCATCAAATCAGTACAGGGGTCTATTTCCCCAGGAGTAAAGAGGCCAGGGTGTGAAACTGACCACTCACCTCCATCTAGTGCAGAGGTCAAGAATGGAGGAGCTATACCTCCACTCCCCCATATGTCTTCATGGAATGGTGCTTAATTAATCTAGCATCAAATCTTTACCTTTACCTTCTATAATACAGAATGACCCCACAGTATAGATATTCATGTTATAAAATTCACAACACAGCACAACACAACTTTATCCAGAATCAATTCTTTAAAGAAATTATTAGGTAGAAAACCACATTGTAAATGCAGGTGCTTTGGTATGTACAGCTGGCCACTCAGTCTGTGGGCATGCATCAATCAAGTAGGGAGATGGCTGGGAGTGTGGTCACTAATCTCATTTTATTTTAGATCATGCACTGTGATTAACCTCATCTAAAACAAATGAAGAGTGGTCTCCAAGTTCAAGCGCAAGTAGCAGACCTTAATTCAAGAAAGTTTATTTTTTAAGCTTATTTTCGTGTACGTGTTCTTATTACTAATGGGTGAAGAAGTGTTTTACTAAGGCTGAATAATCTCTGTAGGAATGCATCTGTGCTTATATCACAGAATAACTGGAAAAATTTGTTTCACATTATGGAATTTCATAATATGGATGCATATTTCAGAGAACAGCCATGCCAAACAAAAGGGTATGCTGTACTTAAGTGAAACGTTGCTACAATTATCAGGAGAATTTGAAAACTTTTACATTAAAATGAGAACTGAATGGTCTAAATTATGACATTCAGGCTACTAAAATAGAGGTTTTAAGTCTGCTTGAGATGTCACAGACATGTTTTCCAATTAAAATATCTCAGTCCCTTGCCACCATGACATGGCATTTCCTTAGGTTTTGGATGGAAGACATGCCCTCTATAAAAGGCTAAAGAGTGTAAAATGCCAAGATGTCCCTGTGCTTAATTAAACAATACAGACTGAAGATATATGACACAGTGGGCTTACAGCTCCATGCATATCTAATCTCGATAGCAGATAGAGTGGTCAGCACCTTGTTCAGGCTGCTTTATCCTCAAAGAAAGACCCCCTGATATTCACTGGGTAGGAGACTGGGTGCGCCCCATACCAACTCTGGATGCGGTAGTGAAGAGAAGAATTTCTGCACCCACTGAGAACCAAACCCAGATTCTCCAGATTTCTAGCCCTTAGCCTAGTGATGATACTGACTGAGCCTGCCCACCAATAAAAACTAATAATTGCATTACATCTGGCATCAATATTTTATAACCATCTTATCACCTAAAGAAGATATTATATGTGGTACAAACTTCCCTCCAGCAATATTATCAGAAAATAAAGCAATGCCCACTTTTGGGGCAATGTATTACCCTCTAACCGGTTCTCCTTGTCCCCTGCCTCCAAGGTTTCCATATCAACCATGGCCTGAAGCTCAGCACTTGCTGCCTGCCCTATCCCTCCCTCAGATTCTCCCAAGCCCTGTCGCCAACGTCCCCGCTTTTCAATGGCCTCTAACTCCAACTGAACTTCTTGACGCTTTTTCTCTATCATTTCTGAAAACAATAATGGGAATAACAATAACCAAAATATCCATTCACTTCAAAAGATAGCTCAGGATGACTAAGCACTAGTACATACATTTGGAACAAAATTATGTCATATGGAGGAGCTTCAATGTGAGTATTTGCAAGCATTATTGGAGAACTGAGAATAAATATGTATGAGGGAAAGAAAGTAGCTTCAAAACCAAACAACACACAAAGTATGCACAATTATTCCATGTAAAATAACTTTGAGAGAACCATAAATGATAAACTGTTGTAAACACTAATAATTGTCTACCAGACTACAAGTCACATCCCAGAAGACAATAATCTTCAGACAGAAATCTGTTCCCAAAATGTCTACATTGACGTGAAATTTGAGTTTCAACGTGCAAAAAATTAAACAATATCAAATCAGGGGATGTAGTGGAGAATGGTTAAATGCAGTGGTCCAGAGAACACAGTATATTAAGTCTATCTGCTATATCATGCTAGAAACTGAAGACACTACTACACTGCAAATACTTACTTGCAACAACCTTCTGGCTAGCAACTAGTCTTTCTTCTGTCTTCAGGTTGTGCATTTTTGGAAGATAAAATATATGAGGCTTGGAACGTGTCTGAATGAAGTTCAGAAGATGCCTGTGTTTATTTTCCCATTCATCTTGCTAGAATAAATACATGATACTTATCAGACTTCCTTGAACTCACAACTGAAACTGTTCATAGACTAGTATCATGTACAAGAAGTTCTCTGTGGGGTTAATGTCCTGTTACATGGTTTTGACAAAAGTGCATATTATTCCGCATCTAGAACATCTCTGTGGGTGCATTATCATCAGATAGTAATGCAAGTTGGTATATCATTACTATGAAGTGACTAGATGCTATTTTCAACAGACAATGGGAACCAAAATGGCCATACCAGATAGCTCGTTGAATGCGTGACTCTTCTTCCATAAAGTTGCCTACTGAAAATATGACATCCCATCAAGGAAATCTTTGACGAAGTACAAGAAGAAACAATACTAATATTAGGTGGTAGCTCTTAGGCATATGTTCCCAGTAAAACAAATAATTCATGCCACATACTTAAAAGTTCATTTTTAGGCATATAATTGTTCATATAAAATTATGCAGTTTTTAATTAATATATGTCCTCTGATGTATGTAAGGTAAAAACTGTCCACATTCCTTGAGATAATTTATTCACTGTACAGGCATAAGACCACTTACCTCCTTAACTCTTAACATTTTAAGTTCAATTTTCTTTATCTCTGCTTGCTTTCGCTTTCGTTCCTGAAACAATTCCTGGCGTTCTTTTTTCAGTTCCTCCTTCTCACGTTTTGCATTCTCTTCCAACTTTTTTTCAACCTTTGCTCTCTTTTCCTCCTAAATATAAAAGAAATTAACAAAAATCATACATAACACACACAAAACATTTCTACCTTCAAATGTCTCTATATAACAAAACCTCCATTCAGGCATCAAGTCATGGCTATCAGCTACATTCACAACAAAACTGCTGTCAAGCAAAGAAGTAATTAGTATCCTTGCTTTGTTATTAGGAAGTTCTGGGTTCAAATGTCAGCCTAGACACTGCCTACCCCGTCTAAGGTATTTCACTGTTTTCCAGTCTCTCTAGGAAAATATACATAATGCTTTCATCTCTCCCACCTCAGAAGTCCACACAGCCACCATCTTGACATACTGATTAGTTAATGGGTTTAAAGTAAACTTACCCAGTGAGTCAGATGTGTCAACACAGTACATAGTTAACTTAACCTAAATTTGACAGAGGCCTTTCACTCACACCAGACGTAATAAACTGTACATAATGACTCAGTTACCACAGCCTCCTTTATGAGAACAAGGATCCTATGAGAAGGCAAAACTGGCATTAATGCTGGAGAAAACTAGCATTTGTTATATTGATTTTATTTCTTGATAATAATCTATTTCTGGGATGTGATATCATATTATCTAGTACCATGATTACAAACATTTCAGAGGAACTATCTTCTAGGATGTGATATCATGTCATCTGGTAGAAGTTTGTTTACCATTGTTCTGGGGGAATGCCACCAATCTTTAACCAGAATACACAGTGTCACATCCCAGCAGATAGAACTCTTCACAGTCAATGGCACGTGGACCTCAAATCTAAAATAATTTATTTCCTGAAATATATGCACCAATGGCATGGAATAAATATATATCTTAAAGAAATACATCCTGTTGTGTTAATCTATAAAATTTCTTTGTTTGTTCCTTGTAATGTTGAGACAGGAATAAAGAAATTTAATAAACAAATATGATGTTGGAGCAAGGTCTCCAAACATTCAAACCATGTTTCATGGAAATCTACCACCATCTCAAGATATTGTTAAGAGACAAACCAGAAAATTATAATACCATAAGCCATATAAAAAAAGGAAAGTAGTCAATAATGGAATAACACAACACCTTATCTCTCATTCTTGTTTCTTCTTGACGAAATTTCTGAAGAGTACCAAGCAATGCACCAAACATCCTTCTATTCCTGAAAAAAAAAACAACAGATTTGTATTACATAGACATAAAGGTAAAGCTGTCCTTGTAAGAGACTGTGGAGACCCTTACTGTTGTGAGACGTCGAGGTTCCCACATTTTACAATCGGATCACAGATGGTGGTGAGGCTGTCAGCCTTACATGCTGGCACCCTTTACTCACTAGGAATATTCCTGGTACTCATTTCTGTTAGAGGCTTAGTCGATCCCAGGGCCATAGTGCGGCTGGAAGGATTAGTTCAATTTAAAAATCCAATGACTTCATCAGGAATTGAACCCACAACCTTCCACCTTCTAACACAGTGCCTCAACCAACTATACTACAGCATGCCCCATTACACATATATAATTGTAAAAAATATAACATGGAACACTGCACACACTGCTTCAGTACATCCCACTATCATGCTTATCAACCAAGGGTGGCCAACTGAGTGAATACTGGAGCTGCATATGATGTATGTATGAATGTATAAGGGGTGGGCCTTCTCGGCCCTTGCACTGCGACCTACAGTGGTCTGTTGTGCTTATGATAGTCTTCACAAGTCTGGATATCACAAACAGGCATTGATTGGATGACATACATGTTTTGGTAGATGGTTTCTACACAGCAGATTCATTATATTTAATCTATTAATAAAAAAGGAATTAACTAATATTTTTGTGTGCGCTATACTCACAGTTCAAAAGAGCTGCATGTGGTTCATGAAACATGGTTTGACTATATCTGTTATAAAATATAAACAGAACTTTCTACACATTAATTACATAAGAACAGAAAAGCATGATGGCTTTAGAAAACAATGCAAAATTAATTTCAGCAACATACTGACTGCAGAAATTTGGAATGAAACATATGAAAGGATTTAGAGTCCACATTTTAAAATGTGTAATAGTATGTACACAAAACTATTTTAACTGCATTTTACTTGACAAAAGTATCAATATTTCCATTACCACATGGTCATTCCATTCATTGCATGCAAGACCACAAACTAGGGTGTTAGTTCATTCAACATTTATCAGAACAGCATCCCTATGACACCTGAGTGGAGATACACCGCATTGTTGGAAAAAAGTATTACATGTAATGCATACCTAGCCTTGCTTCTTTCATCTGTGCCTTGTGCGGCCATGGCTTCCTGTCTTGATGGTAGCTCCTTAGGGGTAGCGATAACTCGGGATGAAATTGCAGGCTGCGAAAATATGAAATGTACGGTTATAGCCATGAGTTTGACATAAGAGTAAAGTATATTATAAAATACTTCTCTCCCTTAATGGTAACCATCTACAGAATATCAGTCAGTAAATTACATTTAATCTTTTCTAAGGTACAACTTTAATTAAATGTAAGGTTTCCCCTGTGCTTAACTAATTGAGCACTATGCCATGAAGACATATGGGGGAGTGGATGTAGAGATCCATGTTTTCTTGACCTTCGCACTACTTGGAGGTGAGTGGTCAGCTTCAAGTCCCAGCTTGCTGGAGGCAGCCAGTTCATTTGAAATGTTGGTAAATATAATGCTACATGGCGTCACATCACAGAAGACTGTAATCTTCATTGCCATCATCATTTCATCCTCAGAACTCACATAATATACTTTACCTTGTTTGAAACCTCCTCTTCATCACCACTGTCTGCCTCCCGCTTCAACCTCGGTGGCCCCGACAACCTGTCAAGATATATATTGAATTATGGTAAAACCTTGGTAATTCCAATTATAAATCACTCCGTCCAATGTGACCTGTAAGTTTTTTACTGCATAAAAACTTAACATCCTTACATGTTTCGGTCTCTGTGGACCATCTTCAGAGGGCAAACATCACTACAAATAGGAAACCACCATCACATAATTTGTTTACACGTAAAGTACGCACACTTATATGCTACAATACATAGTACACAGAATAGAACATTTCACAAACACAGCAGTTTCCTGGGAATGTAAAGTTTTTAAAAAATTGTATAAAATTTCTTGATGCTAATTAAAAGTTTTTTAGATTGTCAATAATTAAAATTCGTAAACCATGCAGGCTCGTGTTCGTCCTCCCATCCTCTCTCTTATATGGGGCAGATATTGTGCCACCTGGCTATTTTGATGTGGAGGTTCTTTATATCGTCCAGGGTTTGCTCATGGCTGCTGTGCTGTTTTCACTGTCCACAGATGGTCCACAGAGACCGAAACATGTAAGGGTGTTAAGTTTTTATGTAGTAAAAAACTTACAGGTCACATTGGACGGAGTGATTTATAATTGTAATTGTTATTGTGACGGACCAGAATGAAACAAATCAAACTTGGTAATTCAATATAATAGAATTCAAAACATAATTTAATTAAAAGTACTGACCACAGTACTATGAACTGATTAAAGAGCAGATTTTAAATAATTTATGTAAAACTAATGTAAGGTTTCCTTTCACAACTGGACACCACAGAGGTCGGCCATACATAAATACATGTATAGAAAAAACATGCTGGACATTTTAATTACTCATCAATTAAAAAACTGGTTCTGGGCCATGTTTCCTACTTGGATGGCTCAGGAGTAGTGCCTTCTGGCCCAGCACCTTCCTTCATCACCCCCCACCTTCCAAGGCATCTGCGTCATGGCTCATTTACCATTGCCCCATCATCCATTTTACCACGTGATTTCGCCTTTCTCCCACGTTTGAAAAGGAAGGCCTCCTTCTGTATGGGTGAAGATATAGGAGCAGTCTGTTGCTTACCATTGTTCAGTAAAGTGCATCACAAAGTTCCGTTACAATCTGGCCTCTCTAAACTGTGTTTCGACTCTTTGCTCTGGCCAGTGAAGGCAAGGGGCTTCCTTGTTGCAACAATAATGTAAATATTTCATTGCGGATGTTGCAACAAGGTTTTCTTTTTGGTATTAAATTATTATTTCTTTGGGTTTGCTACTGACCCATACAGTGTTACTGTTATGACCATATAACTGGGTAACATTGTGAACTGCATTGCCTCACAAAGTTATATGCATTTTGGTGATTCCTGTATGTGGGGCAGGCAGACGGCTCTGAGTGATTAATTTACATTGTTTGTTGTTCTGTCTGGACTGACCAAGGGGGAACAAGTCATAGTTTTACAGCTGACAAAATAGTCAGAGTCACTATATTTGTCTTGCTGTTCTGATGTTTTATTGTCATTAAATTCTTGTTATTTTGAGATTCTGCATTTTCTTCCCAAAGGCTTAAGCCTGGACACCCAAATCCATCTGGGGAGCATTGTGAACATCACAACAGAACCAGGGATCAATGCAGCTGCTGGACCCAAGTAGAGAGTATGCAGAAGCAATGAGCTGCTAAAAACAAGGCCGCACCATAGCTCAAGCGGTTAGTCGCTGGCTTTCCACCGTGACTGCCCGGGTTCGATCCCATGTCTGGTCAAGTGTGATTTGTGGTGGACAAAGTGGCACTGGGGCAGGTTTTCTCTGAGTAATTCGTTTTCCCCTGCCAATCTTCATTCCACCAAATTCTCCATCATCATAATCACCCGGGGCAGGTTACACTAGGCCAATCAGTGGCCGCCATGCTGAGTGGACCCAGTTGGACTCCACCCCCCACCCCCCCAAGCGAAAAATGAGCTGCTAAGTTGCACTTGATGGTACCTATGAATTTAATTTAATGTAAACAGTGCACTGGTAATGACCTCTACAAAACTAATACTGAATCTTCCTGGAGGCAAGGGGCAGCTGGCATATAAGATTGACAATCTCACTGTCATCAGTGAGCCGATTGTCTAGAAAATGTGGGAGCCTTGTAATCTCACAACCCTATTGGCCTTCTTCACAGCTGTTACAGGGATAACTTTAACTTTAGTAAACTAATAATATTATTCAGGACTAAAAGAGAGGAATGAAGATAAAAATCAGCCACCTGCTAAATACCGTTCTAGGATCAGCAGGTCGTCTCTTGATGGCAAGCGGTGATTCCTCTTCTTCTGGTCTTCCTCCTGGATCTCGCCGCCCCCTGAAATATTTTCATATTTTAAGTGATAGTACCATATAATAAATATCTGTATGACCAGATTATGGTATGAACGAGCTGGGAATTAGCAAGTTTAAAAAGCACTAACTACTTTAACCTCGAAACAAAAAGAAAATGCACACACAGATATTAAACTGTATTTTTTTGATACAGTACTGTTTGACTCCAGAGTTAATACATGCGCCAACATTTCATTTATATGAAATGGGGACATGGTCAAATATTTGATCTTTTCTGACATATATATTGCATAAATGTTAAAAAAAACTGGATGATAAAACACTTGGTTGAACACTTGTTTTGAAGGAACAAATTCCTTTAGGATAATTCCTTGGTTATCAAAAATTAAGATCAGCATGATTTTGACCTTTGATTTCATCATTCAATCATGCATTTTCAGTCATGAAGAATGGACATTTCAGCTCGAGAAATTGATGTTTTGTTTCTACGGTGCAGTAGAAGACCTAAGTGCTGTCACCAGCCACTGCACTTTTAAAAGATCAGGTTCTTATAGCAAACCTGCATGAAGTTCTGAAAGTTTTTCTTTTTGTCTCATTATATCCTCACCACTGAGACACTCTAGTACCATTTTTACACAAATTTTCTTCATGTTAAAATCTTTGGTCAGAGTCAACATCAGTTTCCCCTTGAATGTTAAGTTCTTCAGCCATATTTCGAACAGTCAATCAAAAAATCTCACTTTTTCAATTATCTTTCCATATCTGGATCAGTTCTTGAAGAATGAATCTGTTGGACAACTCTGCTTGCTACCTGCTTTTGTTTGGTAAGTGAACACAGGTGCTGAACTTGAAGCTCTCACAGCAGTGACTATGAAGAGGTCTATCTTCTAGGATATGATACAATGTAGTCCAGTTTCTTGCTTAGCTTACTCCTTGCCCTGAAGATGGAGGTGATATCTTTCTCCAAAATATCACTTCACTCTCAATGGACTACATGGTTTTACATCATACCACCATTGTGAGAACCTCAGACCCAACATCTATGTCCACTTACCAAACAAAATGTCACCATTCAATAGGTTGGAATGCAGATTATACAATGGACTTCCATCAGCTTATTCCAGGGTGGTTCCTGATCACATACAACAGTTCTTTTCTGATTATGGTAATAAGTTTGCATTAGCTTGGCTTAGTTTATGGGGATCTGTGTTAGAATCTGCAATGTTACTCATTTCTATTATGAATATAAAAAAAAGTACCTCAATGGGGTGAATCCACGACCTCTTCCGCGAAACTCCTCAGGCTGGGCAGCAGGACGTTTTAAACCAGGCCTAAAAAGTCATATTACAAAAAACTATCAAGATTTTGAATATCATTAACAAGTACATTACAAAAAAGGCCATGCGCTTCCTACAGGGACCTATCACTACGAACTCTAACAAAACTCTTTTAAGTGGTAATTTCGTAGGATAACGGCTTCTACTGGCGATAATGGAAACAAAACAAACTGCATCGCTCTATTCATGCTTATAAGTCTGACACTGTAACAAGAGAATAATTACATTTCGTTAATGCAATATTTATGTAACTGTATACATCAATTTTGAACGCCTTTATAACTTATTACAACTTCTAAAACGTACCGCTGTTTTCCTTCGCTGGGATCTCTTCCTATTAGTTTTTTTATGTGTTCGTCCACTCCTTTAAGGTTATCCTTCGCTTTCTCAAGTTCTGCTTGCAGAGCCCCAAAAGACTTCATGATTTCAGTTGCCATAACTGTACTACACTTATATATGTATGAAATAATTAGACACTTCTCTTCGGTTTCTACAAGACTAAGGCTCCTAACACGAAACAACTGTTTTAATCGTTTTAATCGTACATTAACGAGAACTACCAATCACACAATAAAAAATTAGTACGAACTCTGAAATAGGATCTACATTATTAAATCTTCACACATAGAATACCAGTAAGTAAACTGAAAATGAACTGTCACACATTTAACTAAACTGCAGCATACGCCAACAATTCCCAAATTCCCAAGCATTCCCAAATTACAAAATTTCTGTCACGCTTTATGTTGTTAGCTTTGCTAAAGTTGATCGGCTTTTGTTAGCGATCACGTCATTGGTCACTTGAAATCACTGATTAAAGAGACAACGATCCATTAACTGCGAATTCCAGCTTTATAGGGACGGCATTAGCGGTGGAAATTATTTTTTTGGTAACAACACGGACGACGATGTGATTGAATGTGATAGCCACGGAGGCCACGGATTGTCAGATAGTTGGAGGTGTCAGTCGTGTTCTATGTGGCCGTGTCCGGCTCGTACGGCCGCGTAAATATTTAATCTGTTCTGACCGGTTGTGACCGTTGTGACTAAGGTCGGGGATAATAACGTGCGATGAAGTGTATGTGGTGGTGATTTTAGTTGCTTGAATACGTCGATGACATACAGTGTAACAAATGCAATATTGCAGTATTCAAGAAAAACCATTCGAAACCAATCTGAGAAATGGCCGATGAGGTACTTTTTGAATTGTTGCACTCAGAATTGGTTTCGTACGTTCTAAAAAATTCAGAAAAGGACAAAAAGGTAATCGTTAAACGGACCCAGCAATATTAAAAATGTGTTAAAATTAATTGATGTAAATTTTCTAATCCAGTCATTTGGTCATTTTATAGCATGGTGATCTGTCCACATTAGAATATGTAGGGTTTTCAGCTGGCTACAGGATAATAGAAAGGTAAATACACATTATATATTGTTTGTGCCTTGCACATCGCTCAAAACTTTGAGTATGTGTAAGATTATTTTTATATACAATATTGTGAATACACATATCTAAGTATATGAAGTGACATTTTAAAAAAAGTGTTAGTACATTCCACTGCGAACAGTACGTTGTGATCAACACATAATCATGTTGTCAGTGCGAGAAATCTTCAGTAGGAAACAGATCTTAGCTTCTGTTACTAGAGATTTAAAATCAGGTCATGTTTTACAGATTACACGCTAATTTTGCATTAATAGTCGATTGATTCATATAAGTCACAAAGCAGGCAAGCCAGACCACCAGTTGAAATGCAAAACCAACTATGATTGGGGATGCTTGAAGTAAGGTTAGATCTGCAAATATAGGTTGTACTGTCTTTGAACAATGATTTCAGGTTGACTAAAGAATGGCCAAGATTTAAAGATGAATTAGACACCATGAAATTTATATGTACAGACTTTTGGTCATCAATTAACAAGAAACAAATTGACAACTTGAGAACAAACCATCAAGGAGTGTATGTTCTACAAGATAATGCCTTTCGTTTTCTCACAAGGCTTTCAGCAGGTCGGCAGTACCTTGAAATGGCCCCGAAGGTAATGAGTCATAAGTGTCAATTCTTTTTCCATTTTCTTATCCTGTTCTACATAATGGTTAGGATGCTGAAATGATAAAATTTGGCTTCATAATCATTCACTTGATAACAAAGAATATATGGTCATTTAATTTTTTTCAATTGACCTAATCCTTCCGGCTGCACTAGGCCCTGGGGTTTACTCAGCCTCTAACAGAAATGAGTACCAGGAATTAATTAAATAATTTTCCTGGGGAGTGAAGCGCGGCTGGCACATGAGGCTGACAACCTTACCGCCATCTTTGAGCCGACTGTCAAGGTAATGTGGGACCCTTAACGTCTCACAACCCTATGGGCCTTCACGGCCTGTTACAGGGATAGCTTTACTTACTTTTTACTTATATGGTCACTTGAAACTGAGAACGCTGTTCACCCATTTATTGTAAGTTTGGTTCTGCTGTAGAAAGATAGCATAGGAAAAGTTTGATTTGAGGTTCTCATTGTGATGACTATGAAAAATACAGTCTCTGGTTTGTAATGCCATATTGCGTGGAGAGCTCTGTATATTTTTGAAGAATATAATACATCTATCTTCAGGGTTGAAGAATAACCCAAGATTACTGTTAAAATATGGTTACTTCATTTTATGTTTTTTACACTTGAGTAATTGTAAGTTAATATCAGCTGTCCACCCCCACCCCCTCCATCAACTCCTTGAGCCTGTAGATGAAACGGAAGTAACAATACAAATGTCAACTGGCAGAACGGGGGGAAGGCGCGCTAAGTGCTAGGTAGATAGGTAGGGAGGATCTGTGTTCATTTTTTTCCCTGACCTGACTTCAGTTGACTCTGTAATACTTTTAATTATTGAAGACAGCAGTCTTCTGGGATTTGGCACCGTGTATATGTGGTAACCGACATTTCGGAGGAACGTATCGCCTCCATCTTCAGGGTAGAAGGAAAAATATAAGAAATTCACAAGCGAAGAGACCGTGAGAACCGGTAAAAGCAGACTGGTGTTGGAACGTCGGTTAACACCACATATACACGGTGCCAAATCCCAGAAGACTGCTTTCTCCATAGTCACCGCCGTGAAAGCCTCAGATCTTTTAATTATTGTTTCACTTCTGTTTTCCCAGTATGTAGCATTTACTTGTGGCTTGATCCGTGGGGCCTTGTCCAATTTGGGAATCAACAGTATGGTCACGGCAGAAGTGCAGTCTATGCCAGCATGTAAATTTCATATCCAAGTTCAGAGAATTTAGATTACAGTAAGTTGTGAAATTTCTAATTGCAGAATATGTGTAATCTTCGTTGTCCAAGCATCACACGACTGTTATGGCACATGCATGGGCCTAGCAGGCATATGATTGCATTATTTACAATATAAATACTATTATTCTGAAGTTAAGATTTGGCTGCCAGCGCCACAGTAGAAGATTTAAATCCTCTGTTCCTGGATGATAAAGGTTACTCATCTTTATTATTTTAAAGAATGTAAAATGTAACTCCAATTTGTAGTACTTACATTTTCCAGATGCTTTCTGTACTCTTTTACATTCTTTATTCTTGATGTTTATTTAAGATCTGTATATGTAATTAACTTAGCTGATTAGTAATAAACATTAAAATGCATAAAATCATCTATTATATTCTCATTTTGATTAAATATAGGCCATGTAATTGTTTCATATAAAAGGTATGGATATTTATGAGATCTGTATTTTATGTCGCTCATGGAGCTGAGCCCTTCTTGAGAAGCCTCCAATTGTGCAGCTACTCAAGAACTTCCCAGCATTTTATGGAACCCGAAGGTTCATTACCGTGTTCACAAGAGCCCTCCACTGGTCCCTATCCTGAGCCAGGTCTATCCAATCCATACCATCCCATCCTATCTCTCTAAGAACCATTTTAATATTGTCCACCCACCTACGCCTTGGTCTTCCTAGTGGTCTCTTTCCTTCTGGCTTTCCCACCAATATCCTATACGCATTCCTTGTCTCCCCCATTCGTGCTACATGACCTGCCCACCTCATCCTCCTTGACTTGATCATTCTAATTATACTTGGAGAAAAGTACAAGTTATGAAGCTCCTCACTGTGCAGTTTTATCCAACCTCCTGTCACTTCATCTCTCTTTGGTCCAAATATTCTCCTCAACACCCTGTTCTCAAACATCCCCAGTCTTTGTTCCTCCCTTAATGTCAGAGACCAAGTTTCACACCCATACAGAACCACAGACAAAACTATAGTTTTGTATATTCTAATTTTTATGTTTTTGGACAGCAGACAAGAAGACAAAAGGTTTTGGAGTGAATGGTAGCAAGCATTACCCAAGTTCAGTCTCCTCTTAATTTCATCCCGAATCAGGTTTTGATTTGTTGTCATCGTTCCAAAATATCTGAACTGTGCCACATTTTCAAAATATCTGTTACCTATTTTTATGTTGTGATTTTGTCCTGCATTTTGGTGATGAGATAGCAACATATTAAAGTTCACTAATGAGCAGTGACAAAATTGATATGTTATTATAGATGACATTAGCATTGGTGGTATAGAGCACCTTTGCTTTCCAGAAGTGCAAGATTGGCTCCAAAGATTCCAGGTGAAAAATGAACTGTCCTTATAGTTTGACATTTGTTGGGTGATCTGAGATTATTAATTAATTTGTACTTTTCTTTTAAATTTTATTGATGCCCAGTTTCTTGATTGCATATCCAAGTATGAGCTTCAGTATCATGCATTGTGCAGCACAGTGGATAAGAAGCAAATAACCAGCTTATGTTCAAGACCAACTTCAAAAGTATTTGTTGCAACTTTGCTCTTTATGTTGTATTATTATATATACTTCAGTTTTCATGTTACTTATAGTTGTATGAATGATTGAAAATATTCGTACTTAGTGAGTCAGATTTCAAAACTGACAAATGAAAAGATATTCCATATCAGAATAACATTAACTTTTTTCTGATAAAGAATATAAATGTCTGTTAATTGGTGTTTGGCTAATGAAATTATTCTAAAGGGTTCTGACGATTGTGGATGACACACAGAATTACTGAGGTTTTGGACTTTTTCCATCGTCCAGAATTTTAGATAATAGAGGACATGACGTTTCAGAAACTGGATCTGTTTCCGTCTTCAGGTGAGAAAGGAAGACGCCTACTCAGTTGGGCCCCTTAGAAAGAGCTAATCTCAATCACTGGATTCATTCATTTATTCACATTCCATAAAATCCTTACAAGGTTGAAACAACCAATAGATATAGAAATCGTCCATAAATATAAACTCATCTTGCTTATAAATTAAGCAGTTGTCAAAATAACAAGTTTATAGTATACAAGATTGAAGTCGCATCTAAAAATTGTCTTGAAAATAATAAGGCATTGACAATTTTAAGATAAAAAATTCAGTCCAAATATTATTTACTAATCATGCTTATACAATATGACAGTTGTTTAAAAACCAGTTTATAATATAAGACAAGTTTGAAAGTTGAATATAATTAGTCGTATTACAGTAGCCAATTTACAATATAAGATAAAGGTAATAA